GATGGGGTTCACGCCATGGTAGGTATTCAAGAAAATGAGACCTGGTAAGTAGGGATCAGCCTGGGCTGATTCAAGCTCCATCAAAAGATCTCCAAGCTCCAGTAACCTTTTATTGTCTCGACCAGAGATTTTTGGAAAGTTCTGCAACTTCTTGAAGAGGGCCTTCTCAATGGTTTCTGGACTATCATAGCACTCCTCGAGCCTCTCCCACACCGCATGCAGGCTTGAGGTGGGGTCGTCAATGTTTGCTGACCGGATCCTCTTTGCGTACTCTGCAGACTCATTTCCTAACCATTTCACCAACAGGTCGAGTTCTTCATTTGCAGAGATGTCTGCATTTCGGATTGCATTCCTGAAGGTAGATCTCCAGGCTCGATAGTTCTCAGAGTGGTCATCAAACTTAACGAGTCCTGTGTTGATTAGTTCGCGGTGAGCCAGGTACCTAGCAAAGTGTCCTAGTCCTGCTGATCCAGGGTGTGTCCATACTGGCGCTTGTGAGGCGGCATTATTGGCTGTATTGCCTAGCATGCCGTCATTTGCGATGGCGTTGGACTGTGGGCCCAAAGGGTTTCGATCACGTTGGTTGGATCCCCTTATGTGACTGTCTGGATTGTGGGTCTGACTTGGTGCATCCACGTCTGACCCCACGTGCGCGATGCTGAGTTGGCGACTAACTGCCAGGGCAGGATATGCATTTCCACCATTCCTGTAGACAGCATTCATGTTCATTCGGTGTGGAGATGGCGATGCCTGAACGTCCACCCTTTGTTCAGTATCGTTTGGTGGAGGAGCATTGATGCATTGTTCAGACCAGTCCAAAATATTTTTTCTGGTGAGTTGATCACGGTCCTTGACAGGTATCTGAGTGCCAAACTCACTCCAATTCTCTTCCTTATCCAGGTTGGCTGCTGCCTCGAGCACCTCTGCCTGGGCCATTGCAGCAGCTGCTTCCCTTTTGAGTTGTAGGGTGCTTAACTTAGCATCCAGCTCAATGTTCTTCCGCGTGGCGGTAGCCACTAATATACTCTCTTGCTCTCGTGCGGCAGCAGTTGCTAATATACTTTCTTGCTCTGCTTTCCTCCGTGCGGCAGCAGTTGCTATGCTTGCTTCTTCTTGTATGTGGGCCTTTTCAATTAGCATGGCTTCTTCTTCAGCCATGTAGGCAATACGGGCGTTTGCTGCTTCTGCTGCTGCGCGTGCCTGAGCTGCTGCCATACTAGTAGATGATGTCTTTGAGTGTGCTGAGGCTTTAGATTTTGTGGTGGACCTGTGGCTTTCCATGCTGCGATGCTTGCAGCACGATTTTAATGTAGACTCGTTGCAGAGCTCCTTGCTTGTTGCAGGCTGACTGCAGGGCTGGCTGCAGAGCTGGCTGCAGGGCAGGCTGCAGGGCTGGCTGCAGAGCTGGCTGCAGAGCTGGCTGCAGAGCTGGCTGCAGAGCTGGCTGCAGAGCTGGCTGCAGAGCTGGCTGCAGAGCTGGCTGCAGATCTGGCTGCAGTGCTGGCTGCAGAGCTGGCTGCAGAGCTGGCTGCAGGGCTGGCTGCAGGGCTGGTTGCAGGGCTGGCTGCAGGGCTGGCTGCAGGGCTGGCTGCAGGGCTGGCTGCAGATCTGGCTGCAGAGCTGGCTGCAGAGCTGGCTGCATGGCTGGCTGCAGAGCTTCTTGGGAGCTTTAAGAAGAGTATCTTTTTACTATCTCGGCCTCGCTGTGCGCTGCGTTGCACCGCTAGTCGAGTAGATAACCATGTGTTCAATAAACCCTCGGAGCCAGGATGACCGTCCAACTCCGATCGTCATTTATTGATTGTAACAGGTAAAACTGGTGAGAAAACACAGATACAGCATCTGTTATAATTCGGAAACACCCACACAATGAACACCACAGCATCAGAACATTGTCTCAGATAACAATAGATCCTAGAAGGACCAGGCCCCAACATTACCCCTGAACAACTAGACAAAGGCACAAGCTGGTGCATTGCATACAGGCACATAGTGTATTCATCCCACTGCACCCCAAATGTACGGCATTACACTTAACACTAAACTGTGGATGAGATACTTCGTCATCACTCTCAGGATCGCAACATAGGCACAAGTCTGACTCGACCTACTAAATCACAAGTAACATCCACAATAAGGAAAGTCATAGGCTTCGTTACTAACTAGGCCTCGTATTTACTACAACAACTTAACGGCACCATAAAGGCATTTACATTGCTATAACGGTCATTCCAACATTACAACAGAATTTCCAATATTATAAGAATATAAACAACTTACAGATAATGCTTCTTAAGCTCCCACAATGGACAAGTGCGACTGTGGTCTCACTGAGATGCGATGCGTGCCGCCATCTTGACTTATCTGTGTAATGGCTGACGCCCGCGTGGTACAGTGGAAATCTAACATCGTCACTTCCTGGTCACGTGACCAACATTAGCATCAAAAAACAGGAACTTCCTGTTAACGTACGCTCCCCATCTGCCGTGAGGCAAGACAAATAATAAATACTATTAAAGTGTAATGTTTAATACAATGTATAAGGTAATATATAGTATCGTAATTTTATTGTGAATATATAGCAGTGTGGTATACAGTTGGTTGGGTAGAATAATACATAGTGTAATATTACATTGTATAGTCTATAAGCATATTAGTTGCAGTGGTGCCATATTATTAACATTCCTTCCCGTTATTAATTCTGACCTCACTTCCTCCTTTTGATGCTGCTAATCCTGCATAATGCATGGGCATAGTGACTTTAAACCCCTCGCCAGACCCCCTACGCATTTCACAAGTAGTACTAATCGCATGTCTGCATTTACCATAAGTATGCTAAATTCCTCTTGATATGCAAATTATTTTGTCAAGACGCTCTTCGCCCCTCCATCCAAACATAAATAGTCGCTCCAAGCCTGGGGCGTTCCATTCAGACTCTGTCTCCTTGACAGACCTGTTCTTCACCTGAGGACGGCTGCTTGCGTTGTGGCCAAAACGTCGTGAGAATTATTTTATTATGTTTTATTTTTATTATTTTATTATTTTCCTTCTACGTGACTTTACCGAAAGAACCAAGAAGGTGGGGATGGTGTTCTTGGGGTCATAGGCAGCATTCCTCCTCCTCCAAACACGGCGAGTTGATTTGATGCCAAAGAGCTCCATTTTGGTCTCATCTGACCACAACACTTTCATTCAGTTGTCCTCTGAATCATTCAGATGTTCATTGGCAAAATTCAGACGGGCATGTATATGTGCTTTCTTGAGCAGGGGGACCTTGCGGGCGCTGCAGGATTTCAATCCTTCACGGCGTAGTGTGTTACCAACTGTTTTCTTGGTGACTATGGTCCCAGCTACCTTGATATCATTGACAAGATCCTCCCGTGTAGTTCTGGGCTGATTCCTCACCGTTCTCATGATCATTGCAACTCCACGAGGTGAGATCTTACATGGAGCCCCAGGCCAAGGGAGATTGACAGTTCTTTTGTGTTTCTTCCATTTGCGAATAATCGCACCAACTGTTGTCACCTTCTCACCAAGCTGCTTGGCGATGGTCTTGTAGCCCATTCCAGCCTTGTGTAGGTCTACAATCTTGTCCCTGACATGCTTGGAGAGCTCTTTGGTCTTGGCCATGGTGGAGAGTTTGGAATCTGATTGATTGATTGCTTCTGTGAACAGGTGTCTTTTATACAGGTAACAAGCTGAGATTAGGAGCACTCCCTTTAAGAGTGTGTTCCTAATCTCAGCTCGTTACCTGTATAAAAGACACCTGGGAGCCAGAAATCTTTCTGATTAAGAGGGGGTCAAATACTTATTTCCCTCATTAAAATGCAAATCAATTTATAACATTTTTGACATGCGTTTTTCTGGATTTTGTTGTTATTCTGTCTCTCACTGTTCAAATAAACCTACCATTAAAATTATAGACTGATCATTTCTTTGTCAGTGGGCAAACGTACAAAATCAGCAGGGAATCAAATACTTTTTTCCCTCACTGTATGAGAGAATGACAGCAGACTTTACGATCTAAAGTCATACCAATCCCCATTGTTCAGACTTCAGAAAAATCAGTTTGAAACCACAATTGTAGATTATGCTGAGAATGGTTCAATCACTGACCAAGAGAAAAGCAGAGGCCTATTTTGCAAAGGACCAGTTTGGGTTTTGGAAAGGATATGATGGAATAGGTAAACAAAATGTGTAATGAGAACGATCTTTGAAAGGAGCTTGGAGTTGAACCAAGAAGTGTATATGTCTAATTTTGAGAAAGCTTTCTGATACTAGATGGGAATATTTTGTTCAATTTGCTCCAGATGATAAGAATGGACTGGAAAAATAGACAGCTTTTTGCAGCTTTGCACATGAGCCAAAGGCGAATCAGATAATACAGAAATCTGAAGAGGTGCGATACAGGCGTGCACATTATCACTGACACCTTTGTGGAGATGATGATGATGAAGCAGCTTGGGAAATCATGATGGAAATAATTATTGGAGGTTAGTGAGATCAGCAGATTTGCAGTTGACAAGCAGGTGCTGGCAATTAGAGAATAAGGGGTGACAAGTTTTAGTTACAAAGTTAATAAAGTAATAGAGGATTCCGGACTGAAAATAACATAAACAAGAGAAATGAGAGGATCAAGGAGAGAATGCAGGGAAATTAATATTCCGATTGTAGGTAACAAGATAAAAGTGAAAGAGTTCACCCACTTGGGCCACCTTCTCACATCCGATGGTCGGTGTTCTAAAGAAATCAAAATCAGCAGTGGTGGCTGCAGGTTTATAACAAGGACAGGTCATGACAATGGACAGAGCATTCCTAATTAATTTTCCTCCACCTTGTGCGGGGCCTTGACAATGACAATTCATTATTTTATGCTGTTGTGCTCAGTCTCTTCTGTTGCATGCAAATGCATTGGCTCATTTACACCAGGATTACAAATCTACATTATCTGATGCATTAAAAATAATTGCTTGACACCAGTGAATGATTTCTGCTTTCAGGTCTCTCAGCAAGAGCTGGTCATACGTGGGGAGGCAGGGTGGAGGCCAGGATCTGTCCTTGGAGCCAGGGAAGGTGACCAAGGGCACGGTTCTGCACGAGTTGATGCACGCGCTCGGCTTCCACCACGAGCACTGCCGCAGCGACCGCGACGACCACGTCTGGGTGCTGAGCGACAACATCAAGGATGGTTAGAGGCGTTTGTGACTCCATCCCACGGTGCAGGTTGAGCACCGCTCATGACAGCTGCTTCCGAGCTGCGTCTGGTGCCACGAATGCTGATCCTCCACTCCTGCCAGAGTGGCCGGGCATCTCTTATCAACTGTCCATAAAAAGGAGAACATGAGCTGCTTCATAGCACAACAACCACATACACTACGTCCGTACCACAACATTGTGTTACAAGTGGTTGAGTTTGTAACAAGGAGAAATATAAATTCTACATTTTTTTAAAAGTATTAAATGGTGAACATTGTTTCTTTTTTAGAATGGAAGAGTCAAATCGTGAAGATTAAATCACACACTCATGACGTGTCCACCCCCTACGACTGCAGCTCCATCATGCACTACAGCATGTACGTACAACTCCCTGTGTGTGCGAGTCCTTTACATTAATTATACAAGTGTCTTACACATTAATTATACTAGAGTGCCTTATAAGTTCCCTATTCTACACCATGTGTGTGTTATACATTCCTTATACGAAAGTGTGTGTGTATGTGTTATACATTCCCTATATCACAGTGTGTCTTACACATTCCCTGTACTACAGTGTACGTGTGTTATATAAGGGGGTAGGTGTAGGTCTCCCCCTTATATTCCGCCACATCCACTCACACGGTCTTTCCGGTGCTCACCCTGGATGAAATACAGAGACCAAGCTGAAAAATGACCTCTCTTTAATAACACCAAAACCACCACAAACTTAAGTTGTTAAGTGTCGGTAGAGAATTCCTAATCCTGAGTGGCAAGGTGCATCGGGGCAACAGGTAAAACAACTTCCCACGACATTCCCGCACAGTTGTATTCCCACGCCATGCAAGTCCACAAGAGATCCATGTCCGTGTGGTTCCTCGCTCTGGAGAACACGAGTTGCCAGGGCACAGTCCAAGGTGCAAGGGCACAGCTCTTGCAGAAAAGGCCCTGAGTGGACGATGGAAGTTAACTGCACGCTGGGGTGGGTAACAGATGCATGTGTAAAGTAGGAGCCGACACCAGATTGCAGGGGTCTCGTCCTTTATTCCTTTCCTTCCATCCACACCTGTCCCCCAGCCGTCCCAATATCGTTCCCGCCAAAGGCCCCCTCTTCCCGCCCGTTCTCTCCTTATATCTCCTCGATCACCCCTCCCACTAACCCATCTATTGGTGGGAATCCTTCCCCTGACACCCCTACATCACCCCCCCCCCCCCCCCCCCCGGAGAAAAAATAACCATCCTCGGTTCTGCCTCCCCCATGGACCATTTAAATCTCCCCATGCCTCCCACCACTGACAGTGACGACAGCCCTTACCCCCCCCCCCCCACAACCATACAATGCAACATAACACAACGAAATCAATTGCGCGGCCTGCCCAGGTCTCCAGCCAGCATCCCGTAACAGCCCGGACATCCACAGGCAGCAGATGACCGTGGCGGCCCCCTCCTTCGAAGGCCCTCTCGTCGCGGTCCCTGGTTCGGTGGTGCTGGTGTCGCCTTGCCTGGCGCCGCTGTCTCTCCGGCCCCCGCTCGTGCTGCCGCTCCGTCAGGCCTCACATGGGGTGCTGTAGGTGACAACGGAACACAGGGCACCGAACCCCCTGCCGGTTGGCGCGTGGTGGTCGGCGACCTTGGCCTGGGTAGGGATGATGATGATGTTGGCAGTGATGTTGGTGGTGATGTTGGTGAAGATGACGGTGGAGAGATGTATGGCTTAAGGCGGGTGGGGTGTACAAACCATCGTCGCTTACCCAGTTGGACCTGGACGCACTGCGGTCGGAGTGCTTTAATGACCTCGACCGACCCTTTCCAGGGTCGGTGCAGCTTTGGTGAGAGGCCAACCGGCACCTGAGGACAGTGTAGCCATGCCTGGTCCCCGACTTTAAAGGGCTTGGCTGTCACTGTCCTCTCCCGTATCCGTACATTACTCTCTTGGCTCGTGGCCGATGCGGCCTCGGCTGCTTGGCGGGCCTCTCTCAAATAAATGAGGGAGGTCTTTAGTGCCTTCGGCCATGCGTCGGCTCTTGCGGGAATGTCCGTCAGCTGCACCTCAATAGGCGGAACGGGATCCCGTCCGTACATCAGGAAAAACGGCGAGAACCCCGTCGCCGCGTGTGGGGCCACCCTGTACGCCGCTAAGACAGATGGAATGTGGAGGTCCCAGTCGGAATGGTTTTCGTCCACCACTTGGGACAGCATGGCCGCTATGGTGCGGTTAAGCCGCTCTACCATCCCATCAGTCTGGGGATGATACGGAGATGTTCGGACCTTTTTAGTGCCCAGGATAGAGCAGACGTCCTTCAATAGCTGTGAGGAGAAATTCCTGCCCTGATCCGTGAGCAACCGCTCCGGTGCCCCCTTATCAAGGACATAGCCTCCCACGAAGGCATCGGCGATGGTCTGTGCCGTTTGGTCCGGGAGGGCCCACCCCATCGGCCACCTCGTGCAGTACTCGACTCCGACCAACAGGTATTTATTTCCCCGTGGCGTGACCGGCAGTGGTCCCAGGATGTCCAACACAACCAATTCGTTGACCCTGGTCACCGTGATGGGCTGTAGGGGCGCCCGGCTTACCCGGGGTGGCGGCTTTCGCCGCGCACATTCGACGCAGGTAGCGACCCATCGATGCACGTCAGCGGTCATACCTGGCCAAAAGTACCGACTCTGTAATGTGTACAGTGTCTTCCGCCCCGCCAGGTGCAGCAGCTGGCGGCCGTGTACGTCCATAACCAATTGTTGACGCAGCGACTCCGGAACTACCAGGCATCGTCGGCGCCCTGTCGGGTCCCATCGCATGAGGAGGTCCTCCCATACAATGTACTCCTCCCCCCCTGCCTCTGCTGAGGCGCGTAGCGTTCGCAGTGGGGCTTCCTCCAGCTTTAGCCGTCGCCAATCGTCCAAGGTCAGCCCCAGGTCGTGGTCGGTCAGCTGGACCTCACCCTGTGCGTCCTCCGCCGTGCGTACGGGAGTGATGACTGTCCCCTCCAGCCTCGCCTCCTTGCAGCGTGCCCCGCCTGTGGTGCATGCACAAGGGCCCTGGGGCGCCAGTCGGGACAATGCGTCTGCGTTGGCATGTCTGGTCCCTTTGCGATGCACTACTTGGTACCTGTACTCCTGCAGGCGCTCTATCCATCTGGCCAGCTGGCCCGAAGGCTGGTCGATGCGGAGCGAATACTGCAAGGCCGCGTGGTCAGTGCGGACCGTAAATTTGCGACCATACAGGTAGGGTCGAAATTGCTGCACGAAGTGAACGACTGCCAGGAGTTCCCTACGTGTGACGCAGTAGCGCTGCTCCGCTGATGAAAGCACGCGACTACCATAGGCGATAACCACCTCGCGACCCTGCTGGACTTGCGACAAAACACTGCCGATGCCCACATCGCTGGCGTCCGTGTCCAGGATAAAGGGGAGGCCAAAATCCGGAAAGGCCAATGGTGGTGCATCTGTCAGACGTGAGCGCAGCTGCTGGAATGCCTCTTCCTCCAGAGGGCCCCAATTAAACCTCTGGTTCTTCGCCGTCAACACGTGCAAGGGCTTGGCAATGGTTGCGAAGTTGGGTACGAACCGGCGGTAATAAGAAACGAAACCCACAAACCGGCGTACCTCTGGAACCGTTGTGGGAACAGCCCAGGCCCTCACGCAGGCCGTCTTTTCCGGGTCTGTAGCCACTCCAGACTCACTGACGACGTGGCCCAAGTAGCGTACCGACGACTGCATAAGGTGGCACTTCGATGGCTTGAGCTTCAAGTTCGCGTTCCGGAACCGCAGGAATACCTGACGTAATCGGTCAATGTGTTCCTCGAATGATCGGCTGAAGACAATGACGTCATCCAGGTAATTGAGGCACGTTTCCCATTGGAGGCCTGCTAAGGCCAACTCCATTATGCGTTGGAACGTTGCCGGCGCAGTCTGGAGGCCCATAGGCAGGCAGTTGAACTCGAACAGGCCCTGTGGTGTCCGGAACGCTGTTTTAGGCCGGGAGTCCGCGTCTAGTGGGACATGCCAGAACCCGGACAATAAATCCAGCGTACTGAAAAATTTTGCTCCCGCCTGTGCATCCAACGAGTCGTCAATACGTGGTAGGGGATATGCGTCGGCCAGCGTGACGGCATTGAGGCGTCGGAAGTCCACAGAGAATCTCAGTGACCCGTCTGACTTCTTGACTAGGACCACCAGTGCCCCCCAGGGACTCGAGGATGGAGAAATTATGTCGGCCCGCAGCATCTCCTGCACCGCTTGTTGAATGTGCCCTTTTTCCATTGGGCTCATTCTATATGTGTTTTGGCGCAGGGGTGCGGCATCTCCCGTGTTAATGTGGTGCTGCGACAGATTTGTGCGCCCTAGGTCGAACGGTCCCCGGCTGAACACGTCCGAGAACTCATGCAATAACGAGTGCAGCTGCTGTTTCTGGTCAGGCGGCAATCCCGGCTCAGGCCCCGCCAGCTGGTCCATCCACGATTCGGCCCCTCTGTCCTCGGACTGGCTGATGCTGCCTACAAGCTCGGGCTTTGTCCCTGGGGCTCCTTGTGACAAGGGACTAACGTGGGCCAGAACTGTTCCCTCCTGCACCGTCGCTGTTCTATCGGAGGTGTTCAGCACCTGAATGAACAGATGCTGGTTCCTCTGTACAATAGTTTCGGCTCCCACCAGCGCATGGCGATCCATGGCAGCTGACGCCGGAGACACCAGGATGGGTGAGTCTGGTCGGGCTGTCACGAGGGGAGACCGATATTGCAGCGGAATCAGCATCTGGGCTGCCGGGGGAATGGAGACAGACTTACTGACCAGAGCCTGCACGTAGGGTACACCCCGGCTGGCCCCCTCCGCCTTTAGGAAATGGAGATGCGTTCCCTGGACTTCCACCCGCCCATTGGCCAGATCGATTTTCATTGGCATCCGCCTCAGAAAGTCCGTCCCCAACAGGCAGGGTACGGGCAACGTTGCGGAGACAAGGATGGGTCCTGCTACCGAGAGCTGCCCAATCTGTATCGGGGCTTCAACCTGGCCCATGAAGCCCATGCTGCCTCCATTTGCTGCAATGAACGTTGTCTTGACAGGGACTAAAGGTCGGATTTTATCCGGCAGCATCTCGTGCATGGTGCTCGATATGATCGTGGCTGATGCCCCCGTATCCACCAAGATACGTGCCGACACTCCCGCGATTTCACCGACCAGGACCGAGGTTCCCGACGTGGCCGCTACCACCCGCCTTGCCAGCTTCCTCCATTGTGTGGCTGAGTCCGGCCACTGACCAGGCAGCGTCTCGTTATCCTGTGGTGCATGGTGAAATGATGGGGGATGGATGTGAATGGACTGAAGATGGGGTTCCTCCCTTTGGAGTGCGTCGCAGCAGGGTGAACGCGCCCTTGTTACATAGTGTGGGCTTACCCGTGGGTTGCGGGCTGGGCTCTCTATGTGGTGCAAATTGCCCCCCCTTGGTGACGTAGGATGGGCCCCCCTTGTGGTGTGGGGGGCCCCCCCCATTGTAGGGGGCAGTGGGGACTGGGGGGTGGGCCTTCCCGTGAGCCCCTCCCTTCTCCCCTCCCTTCCCTTTGTCACGGGGGCGTGGTCCCCCTGGTTCCGTCTCGCTCTGCCGCAAAGCGGTAGCGAGGCAGGCCGTGGAACTGCTCCAGGGCGCAATGTCAATCTTGTGGGCTGCCTCCGCCCCTGGGCCGTTGCCCCTGGCAACTCGCCGGCGTCGCCGGTAACTGGTGACGTCACGCCCGCCGGCGACGTCACCTCCGCCCGCGACGTCACCTCCGCCCGCGACGTCACCTCCGCCCGCGACGTCACGTCCGCCCGCGACGTCACCTCCGCCCGCGACGTCACGTCCGCCCGCGACGTCACCTCCGCCCGCGACGTCACGTCCGCCCGCGACGTCCCTCCCGGCCTCGGCGCGACTCCCGACGCGGTCTCCGGCCCCGGCGCGACTCCCGACGCGGTCTCCGGCCTCGGCGCGATCCCCGACGCGGTCCACGGCCCCGGCGCAATTCCCGGCGCGATCCGCAACACCACTTTTGGCCGCGACGTCACTTCCGGATGCAACGTCACGTCAGTTCGCGACGCCACTCCGGGTCGCGACGCCACTTCTGGTCGCGACGCCATCACAGGCCCCGGCGCTATCCCCGGCGCGATCCCCTTCCCCCGACCCGGACAATGGGGACCGGGGAACGACACCGACGGCGCCCACCCCGAGGAGACTCCCGGTAAGTTCGCGGCGTCGGAATTGTAATTGCTCGGCCCGACCGAGAGGCCGGGCGGGACGGCGTCACTCGCCTGGATCCTGTCGGCGTTCGGCCCCGACGGGTTCCAGGTGACGTTGGCGGCCTCCGGCTCCGTGCGGCACCCCCTCGCCACATGCCCCTCTCGACCACAACGGTGGCAGACCCACGGGGCGTTCCGTCGGGGGGGCTCAGCGCGATGTTGTAGAGGCGGCTGCCAGCGACGCGGCGGCTATACGCGCCCATGGTCCCTCTGCTCCGCCAGTCCCCGGATCGCCGCATACACCTCCCGCAGCGATGGCTCCGTCTCAGACGTCGGGGGTCCGTCCCCAGCTGCCCCACAGGCAGCCTGTGGCGACGGTGCAGGTTCGGCGGTTGGTGTCGCTGGACCCAGTAGCGCTGCGGCAACGGCTCGGCTGTTCCCCCCCGCCGCGCCAGCCACCGGGCCCACGGGTGGCGCCCGGCCCATGACCTGCTCGTGGGCTTGGATGGTCCGGGCAGCCCACAGCGAGGTGCGTTCCCCCGGCGTCACCACGGGCATTACAACGCCGGCGCGGCAAGCGTAGGCGATGAGGTGCTCCACCACGAGGTCCTCGAGCGCTTCTTCAGCCAGGCGAGGGAAAGCTCTCCTCGCCAACACGAGCAGTGCACCCCTGTAGGCTAAAGGGGATTCTTTAGCCCCTCGTTGGCGATCTTGGAACCGTTTAAAGGCTCCTTCCGCCGGGCAATAGATCTCCCCCAAAGCCTCGTAGGCCGCCTGTAGCGTGGTCTTGCTGTGCGAGGGAAGGGAGGTGTAAGAGGAGAGTGCTTCCTTGCCCAGAACGGATGGCAGCGCTCGTAGTGCCTCTTCGTCTGTCCACTCGAGAGCGTGGAAGGCAGCCTCGAATCGGCGGACAAACTCCTCCCAGTCTTCTTCCTCAGCCACGAACTTGTCGACGGGCCCCAGCCGACGCGGCCGTCCGGCCACCTGCTCTCCGTGTTGGGTGTTTAGCCCTGGGGGTTTTGGCGGGACCGGCGGCGGCTGGCGTGACGAGGTTGGTTGCGGCTCTTGCCCGGCCGGCTGGTCGGCCTCCGGGTCCCGTGGCCTCTCCTCCCGTAGTACGCGTGGGGGTGGGGGTCCCGGTGCTGGCGGGCCTCCCATAGGGAGCCTCTGTAGGAGCTCCTGGAGTGCCCTCTCCACGCGGGCCATGCGGTCCTCCATGGGGTCCTCCAGGCGATCCGGGCCCCCTGCTGCTGCTTCTGATAGCAGGCCCCCTTGTTGCCCGGGATGGGAAGGATCCCCGGCCCCTGCTTCCTCCTCCCTTGGCTCTTTCCCGCGGGGATTTTTCTTTGTAGCCATGAGATCCCACCGCTGCCACCAGATGTCAAGTAGGAGCCGACACCAGATTGCAGAGGTCTCGTCCTTTATTCCTTTCCTTCCATCCACACCTGTCCCCCAGCCGTCCCAATATCGTTCCCGCCAAAGGCCCCCTCTTCCCGCCCGTTCTCTCCTTATATCTCCTCGATCACCCATCCCACTAACCCATCTATTGATGGGAATCCTTCCCCTGACACCCCTACACATGTAAGCAGGGGCGGTTGGACTCCACTGATAAGATTTGCTTTGTCAAGAGCATTGAGCTGAGCCAAGCACCAGGGTCGCACGTGTCTGGATGATTGCCGTCAAAGGCAAGTCGCAGTGTCACCAGCACCCACGACTGAGTGCCACTGGGAGCACACAGTGGCTAAGAGCGCCTGACCACGTGAGATTCAGCCTAGGGTGCAGAGTTACGCCAAACCTGTAACCAAAGAGGTAGGTCGCTTTGTATTTATATTCCTGAAATTCCCTACTCCCTGTCACACTGGGACACGGTTGCAAGGTAAGCAATTCAATGACTCAGGACACATTGTTACTCCAGTTTCTTGTCACTCTGTGACTGTGGTTCTTTTTCACACTGCTAAGTCGAGTTCAGCTTGAAACCCTGGGGCTCACTGGTCACTGTTCTCGAGGATCTCTGTACAATGTGTGTGTGCATGCATATCAATCCCCTAAGCTACAGTTTGTGTGTCCCACCATCATTCCCAGCACGTCCTGTATTGTAAATACATATATAAATATGCGTGTTTGAATTGCTGGAGTGATGATTGATTATATTGGATGTGAGAGGATGGATTATATTGGATGTGTTATACAATCGGCAATCAGCTTGATGTGCTTTCGAACCTGGTTTTATTTATTGTGGTTACCTGAGATTTGAATGTTGAATATTATGAATGCTCAAGTTTCTGAGACCTCACCTTCATTCATGATGGGTGAATTGTAATGCTGTTTAGCGCCTGTAAAATGTTTTGTGTTATGTACAAACGTAATCTTTCAAGAAGGGATGTGAGTTTTTTTATGTAAAATGCTCCAAATGCTCTCCACGTATCCCGGTGCGTATGGATGGTGGAGCGCCCTGTACCTGAGGCTTTGTGCGTGTCCAGGACGGCGGGCTCGGTGGACGAGCGCAACCCGACCATAATCCCCAAGAACCCGCTCCTCATGCTGCACATGGGGCATGGCAACTCCCTGAGCCCCTGCGACGTGGCCAAGGTGCAGAAGCTGTACGGATACGAGACAACACTGCCGCTGAGCTCCACAGGTGGGTACACCGAGTGCCCTGGATGAATGATGGCTACCAGAGCAAGAACGCTTCAGGGACTCTGATTCCAATACCAAACACACATCATGGCTGTTAGCATTCACTCTCCTTGGTATCTCATGAATATTGAAGCTGCATATGAGCCACTGAAAAGTGGCCATGTTATTGGTGATGGCCGCGTGGTGCGTTCTGTCAGTGCTTTACACACGAGGCGCTGTGAGGAGTACAAGACCCTGTGCTATCTGAACGTGGCGGGGTCTTCAATTTGAGGGCCACTGACTGAGACGGGAATAACGATGCGCCCTCACACTGTCCTCGTCATTGATTCCCAACACTGACACGATGTCAAATGCTGATGATGGTCATAGTTGGGTCCACGCATTTAGACCTTACAGGCTCTGTTAGCTCTGTATAGCGGGGGTTTAGAAATAATGGCTCCCTGCTGACAGTGGTGAGCGTCATCACTGATGGACATGCACGCGTGTGTGTGTTCTGAGACTGTTTTATTGTACGTTGTATGCCTTTACTTGCATGTGTACTCGTATAAGTGTGTATATGTGTGTATGTTGTGCTGCTTGTATGTGGACACAATTGCACCGTGGTGTGTGACGTCTGTGCTGTAACATGCCTGAACAAACACTGGTATCCTGGAGTGTAATGCGTCTCCATTCATTGTTTTGATATCCCAGGTGTGGGAGACCGCGAGAGTTTGGAGAGCCAAGTGAGAGTTTGGAAGCGAAAGGTGAGAGGGGTGAGGCACTGAAAGGCCTCCCTGCACACCGTGCCACATGTGCGTGCAGGACGTTGCGTGAGTTAACGTTGCATCATCACGGCATTGTGAACGCGGAGTTCCCTGGTGAGAGGTCAATTCGTAGTACTCTTCATCGTGGTTACTGAGGAAGGCGGCTCGTGTGTATTATGACGACGTCATGCAGTGTTGGCAGTCAGTTCAGTTAGCGCTGGGAGACAGTGCATGCAGTGCTGGAAGAAAGTGCAGGCAGTCGGTGTAGGCAGGAAGTCTAGTCATTATAATCTGCAGTTAGTGCAGTCAATTTGGGCTGACAGGTAATGCAGTCATTGCTGGCAGTCAGTGCCGAAAGTTAGTGCTGTAAGTCAGTGCTCGAAGTCAGTACAGTCAGTGTGGTCAGTGCTGGGAGTCAGTGCTGAAGTCAGTACAGTCAGTGTGGTCAGTGCTGGGAGTCAGTGTTGAAATCAGTACAGTCAGTGTGGTCCACTCATCTCCCTGTCTCACTCCACTCATCTCCCTCTCTCACTCCACTCATCTCACTCCACTCATCTTCCTCCTACCACAGACTCTTACCAGCCTATTTATTATATTCTGAATATGGCAATATATATTCATGAGCTACATGCAAATGTCAAGGTCTGCTTGCCACGAGAGGGCTTCAGGACAGAGTCCGTGTAGTTTTGTTATTCCCCTGTTCAAGGAGCACAGACTACAGTGGTTTTCTATATGGTCCATCACTTGGGCTGCATCGCCACAGTTGCACTGTGGCTTGTCTTTCATTATTATCCATGAAGAAAGGAGATTTATGCATACATTTTTGATGTTCTGATATGGTTGATGGTTGCACCAGTGTCTTCGAGGAAGAATGCTAAAGCCAGGAGGTGCAGTGTTTGGGTCTCAAATGAGGTTTTTTCTGGACATCCGCGTTCTTCCACTCTGTTCGCTAGAATTCTTCCGGATCTGGGTGAGATTCTAGGATGGTGACAGCACGATTCTAGAGAGGGGTTTGGGACTTTGAGTTCATGGTGAGGAACATTTTTGAGGTTTTGGTTGATGGGGAGGTTGTTGTTGTCAAGAAAATGTGTAAACTCGCTTGCAGTTTGCACGATGTATCTGCGGATATTTGGTGGCAGAATGTTCACTGGGAAAGGAAAACAGGGGATTTGTGTTGGTTTAAATGTTCCGGTTATGATGTGAATTGCGTTATTTAGTTGTGCAACCTATCAGTTTTGAGTCTGTGAATGATATCATCGAATTGGTATGGCTACAAAATGTGTTTTTCATGCACAAATGTCTCCCAAAAATATATAGCATGCTTTTTTACTTAAACCAACACATCTAAGTGTACGCCTTTTGGTACACTCCATAAAAAACCACTTGTTCATGTATAAATCCACACAAAAGTTACTTGAGTAATTGTAATTGCTCAGTTGCCTAAAGGCTCACCGTGATCGGAAGGCAACATACACCTTTGGTATTGTAATGACCTCTGTATGCCATGTGATCTTTAGCCAAAGTCAAAAAGACTGAGCGAACAAATTCACCACGCTCATCACAACGAGCAGAGCGGTGCCTGGTGAACACGTGGCACTCGTGCACATAGTGTGGCGCAGACACTTCACCTGCATATCAGAGAGGAGTGAGCAGGGAGTTGAGTGGGGTAAGAGGAGGGAGATAAGTGGATTGGGTGGCAATAGAGCGGTTGTAGCAGAAACCACACAGTGCCTGTACGCACGCTGATTGTATTGATGAGTGTGCACGGTGCATCAATATCCCTGAGATTGGCGATAACACATTGTGTTTATTCTCCTACACAGTGCTGTGAGCCCTCTACTAGAGCAGGGAAGCTCCCCTGGGAGGGTTCCCCGGGGAGCTCTCCCCTTGCTGTAGCGGTGTCTGCTGGGGCCGTGTGCCCCAGCCCTGGGCTGCTGCCCCTCGCTGCCTCTCTGTGCTGATGGCCGTCGTGGTTTTGTTGTTCCCTCCCCAGACAGAGCAAGAGCTGAAGGAGGAAAAAGAGGCCAAAGGTGAGGCCTGTGTGTGTGCATCACAAAGAGGTGCTGCCGTGAGGGTTTGTACAAAGCGTGCAGTGTGGACTAGGAGAGGCACAGACGCCAGCTTAGGCTCACTGCATCATCATTCAGGGATTAACCAGAGCCCAGATGATTAAAATGGTAATAGTGAAACACTGAAATTGCTTGCTCATGCTACTTCTGGCAGAGGGACTTCCACTAGAGGGTGCTCTAATGAGCTCATCTATAGGGTATTTTGGCCTACTCTTCAATTCAGGCCAGATATTGTAGAAAAGGTGGGAAATACGATTAGCATGGTTTCCTATGAACGGTGTGAAATAAGTTATACATACATACATACCCATACTTTACCTCACCACACACGACCTACCAGTGTACCTATTTACACTGAGCGTTTGGGGAATTAAGAAACCGAAGGATCAAATAAAACCGGCATGATCTGGATAGTCCACTGTGTCAACCATTACACCACAGCAGCATTGCCAAGTTGGTTATTCGACGAAGAATTGTAGTAGACTACTTTTTTGTGGTCGTTTTTTCATGTCTCAAAAAAATGGCACCCAGCTCCACATTCTACCTCCCTTGGGCAGAAACCCCCTAAAAGCCACGATCAGCTTGGTGCGGCTGAACGTGGCAATGACTTCACCAAACCCCATACACCAGCTCCTGTCCAGCAGCACACATGGTTGAGACTTTTTCCCAAACATTTTCATTACAAATATCTGAGCAATCAAACTGAGAATTGGTAGATTTATCTTGTATTATGTTAAATAAAATAAACCAATGCTGTAGTGATGCATGGTACTTTTTGAGTTTGTGTAAACTATTAGAAAGACAGCTTTATTTCACAGCAGATGAGTCACGGCATCTGTAATCTACCAGGCATCAGATTTAATGATAAAATACCTGTGTGCACTGCGTGTGTGGTTAAGCATCACGTAAACACAGCAAATTAACTGCACACACGCTCATCACACACAGCACAACGATGCTCCAGTGAAGCACTTTGACAACAGCAGCACCAGACAAGAATTTATGTTTTCCCCTGCCCTGTCTTTCTCATAGTGCCCTTCTCTTCCTTAACACCCTCTCGATATACTTATCAGTTTCTCTATAAATACAGATAGTGTATTGTGTTCACATGACATACTGGCCCTTGTGTGTGCTGTTAAATAAGACATGATGGAGCCATATGATATAAGTGACTATTTTACATCAGACACCACCATGACAAACTTACCTTGCCCGTCTTGTCCGTGATGGCGCGCTCACCGCTTTTGAACTAACAATGCAGCGGGATTCTCAACAGAGCGGGAATTGAAGACAAAGGCTGGCCCTGTTGAGGAGATCATCCGTGAGCTCAGGTGGCTCTCCAAGTGAGTGACCCTTACAGCACGTGGCACCGATTCCTTACAGCACGTGGCAATGATTCCTTACAAAACATGGCACCGATCCCTTACAACACGTGGCGCTGATTCATTACAGCACGTGGTACTTATTCCGCACAGAACGTACCACAGCTTCCTTGCAGCACTTTCCACCGATTCCTTACAGCATGTGGCACTGATTCCTTACAGCATGTGGCAATGATTCCTTACAGCACATGGCACTGATTCCTTACAGCATGTGGCACTGATTCTTGACAGCACGTGGCACTTATTCCTGACAGCATGTGGCACTTATTCCTTACAGCATGTGGCACTGATTCCTGACAGCACTTGGCACCGATTCCTTACAGCATGTGGCATTGATTCCTTAAAGCACGCGGCACTGATTCATTATTTTTGTAATTTTCTACAACGTTTTAAAATGTTTATTCATAGCTCTACCCATCCCTCTGTTCAGCTGTTAAAATAACTTGTAAATATGATGCTATCCGAACAACATGTCAGTTTGAATTTGTATTGCTATTTGGGAATGTACTCTACAGAAAGCAGAGGCACATTAATGAAACGTTTCCCAAAAACTCGGTGATTCAAACATTCTATGTAAAGGTATTTATCCCATGATGATGACGTCACGTGCAACGCGCTATTCACCATTGCATCATGACACGCGGTGTCATCTCACGACGGCACATGCTATGTGGTGTCATATAGTTATCGGGTGCAAAAGATAATGTTATTCACCATCTGCTTTGAAAAATCTACTGCTGGATTAAGGCCTCCCCAAGCAACCCTCATCTCTCAGGCTCGTGCGATCTAATAATCCACCTAGCCTGAGTACACAAGCTGACTTTATTCATCCGTATCCCCAGTGAATGTGTATCGTCGGAAATACATAGCTCACATCGCCCTGTATACGCACCTATAGTTGCGGGCACGGGTCTATAAGGGGTGCCACCCTGACCTAGGGAGACAGAGAGAGAGCTGGACCGTTGAGGGGCCGAGTTCCCCCCCCCCGACCCCAGGTGAGTGGTTGGGGGGTTATTCCAGAGCCCCCTGGAAGGTTCCTGAAAGGGGGCGGTACCGGGGGCGGAGTTTCCACGAGAGGTGTATATAAGACGGACCTCAGGTCGGCTCATGGCAGTGCTCTGAAGACGAAGACAGAAGAACTACTAGGCTAGGACCCTGTGACCTTGGGACCCGACGTCTTTTTAAGAGCCGGGGCCGAGCACGGACCAGTGGTCAGGTCCCGTACGTTGGCTGGGCCGGGTCAGCGTAGCCTCCCTAGTTAGGACCCTGGGACCTCGGGACCCGACGTCCTTTTAAGGGCCGGGGCCGAGCACGGACCAGTGGTTGGGACCTGCACCTTGGCTGGGTCGGATCAGTTAAGCCTCCTTTAGGCCACCTTTAGCCGGAGGACTCATAGCCGGTAGCCCCAGTGTTAGGGCACGTTAGCCCGGAGGCCATACCTCCCCAGGTAGTGGGAGTAAGGGGGCTTCCTGTTAAATAATTTAATATACCGTGTTGCCTCTAAAGACTACATCTCCAGTCTCCGTGGAACTCACTACAAATGTACTTTTAGATCTTTTGGCTGCAACTCTATCATTATTCTTGACCATATGTGGTGCCCAAGCCCACTTGAGTTTCTTAATAGTCAATACGATGTCATTAACCTGTGTATGTTCTGTCATCTCTGCATTGTTTTCTATTTGTCAATCTACTTCCAAGTATACATCTCTCTCCATGCTTCTATTCGCATTTTTCAGTTTTTGTTTACTTTTCTATTTTGAATGTCCATGCTACCGATTCATGTCATAGCAAGGAATCATCATTCATGAAAACATACTCTGAGGACAAACTCTTATTAGAAAGCGTTAAAGATCACATGCACATGCATGAGTTGTCTTCCTTGTTAAAAAAAATAAATGCCCTGCAGTTGGCTTAGCAAGGTGGTGGGGGATGGGAGGAGATGTGGAGCGTGAGAAGGGATGGGGGTGCATAGGAAGAGAACATGAGGTCATGAAAGACGAATGCAGTCAGTGAATACAGGCCTTGATCCCACGTGCTCTGCGAGTACTGTCTAGTTTCAGATTTCTTTAACATTTAATTGCACTCTTCCAGCCTGCGAGATAATTACCCCAGCCATCCAGTGAATCCCAGATTTCCATCTCAGCCTCATGGTGATGGTCACCGATTAGTCCACAAAAGCAGTCCCTTGGATACTACATATGGAAAGCCTGTATCTTATCTGAGTCACCTTTTGCATAGTCCAATATAGTCCATAACATTGTCCAGAGTCAGCACAGTCGATATTGGTAACATTTAATCACCAATAGTTTTGCCAAATGCCATAGAGCACCTAGCCACAATCCAGTTAATTCAGATGCAGAAGAGGACCAAGGCAAGGATGTCGTCTTGGTGGATGCGCGGTGGTATTGTGAACGATCCAGATATGTTCCTACCCATCCAGATGAGATGAACCAGCAACGGTGGAGTTCCCATGGGCCTCAACGCCTTCCATAATGCCTCTCTGTCCGCACAGTCGAAGGCAGCCTTTACGTCAATGTATATGATGGGTTAAACTCACCTTGGAGCTCAGAGAAGACGAGGGCCTAAAACTGCATCCATGGCCGATCTGGTGTACGGATGAGACTCATCAATCTGGTAAACCGAGTCTTCGACATGTGTGGAGAAATTATTTTATTGAAGTTAATGGGAACAGTAACAATGGTTTGGGTGATAAGAGAGTGATAAGGAGGGAACTGACCACCAGAGAGCGAGGGACTGGAGTGAATCAGTGAGTGCTAGATTATCAATCAACCTGACTCAAGTACAGTGAACTCTAATCCAGATATGACAACAGTATTTCCAACTCTGACTGAATTTGTGCTTTGTATAGTCACAACAGATTAGGCTGTGTTACTCCTAAATCATGCTCCGTGTTGTCTCACCTGGAGAGGCTGCTGGAGCTGTGAGATGAGGCTGTGTTACTTGTGGGTCATGCTCTGTCTTGTCTCACAGGTACGACGTCTCCACGGTGACTCACCTGGAGAGGCTGCTGGAGCTGTAAGATGAGGCTGTGTTACTTGTGGGTCACGCTCTGTGTTCTCTCACAGGTACGACGGCTCCACGGTGCCACGCCTGGAGAAGTTGCTGGATCTGCTGTCTTCTAAGTGCCCAGCTCAGGAGAAGGAGGCGCTCCACACAGCTTATAGAGACGAGGACGGCCCAAGTGAGAGCTCAACATGCACGCTCTCTCTACCGCTATTACTACTGCAGCTCCTAGCCTCACACTATGTCTACCGCTATTACTACTGCAGCTCCTGACACTGTGCTATCTCTACCACTATTACTACTGCAGCTCCTGACCCTGTGCCATCTCTACCGCTATTACTACTGCAGCTCCTGACCTTGTGCCATCTCTACCACTATTACTACTGCAGCTCCTGACCCTATGCCATCTCTACCGCTATTACTACTGCAGCTCCTGGCTGAGCACTATTTTCCTGTTCATGCACAGGTGCCTGATTAATAATCAGAATCGGAATCTGTATTTTTCCTGGAGAAATCCAGTGAGCTTTGAGGCTCTTATTCAGAGATGTCGAGTAGTTTGGACATCATCATCCGCAGTCTTGCCCAGGTTTCCGCTAAGTACTTTGTAGTCTTGCCCATTCCCGATCAGTCTTTATTCCCAATCACAGACTCCCCGCTCGACCATTCACTCCCTCCTTATAGAGCCTCCAGGACCAAAATCCCTTCTGATCCCCTCATTTGCAGATGCAATGGAAGTGGTGTCCGAGACTCTTGAGCCTCACTCCCTCCCGATTGGTTCCCCTAGGATCCTCCCCTCCCAATGGCTGTTTCCTCCTGCACCACTCTGGTGGCTTCATCCAAATTAACGAGCATTCGGAGCCCAGCAGTTTAATAAGCACACTTGCTTCCCCGTTCTAACATAGAAAATAATATCCACGTGTGCCGAATTAAAGCATTCCACCATACTATCGCTTTTGGGATGATCCTAGTGGTTCAGATTTTCTTTATGCCTAGAATGTGATGCAGTTCTCCCAGGAGTCTCAATGAAAAATGTGCCCCACCCCCCGCCCATGAGAAGTCTTTCTGTAGACACTTTTTCCAATAGATGCCCTTATCTTAGTTTATATATGTGTAGTGGTGGTACGCGCTGGCAGGGATCGGGTGGCAGCGCGTGGTGATTGGCTGTGTGTCGGTGACGCGCGCTGACGGTGAGGGATCATAGGGCAGCGCGGGGTCATGGGTTATGTGGTGGTGATTGGCTGTGTGTTGGTGACGTGCGCTGACAGGGAGTGGTCGTGTGGCAGCGCGGCGTGATTGGTAGTGTGGTGGTAACACGCGCTGGGGTGAAACGGATCGTACGGCAGCGCGTCGTGATTGGTCGACTAAGGTGGGTGCTCACATCGTGGTCCGCATAGTCTCCGTCTCCTCGGGAGCGGAGGGCCATATAAGGCGGTGTGCGCGGGCGCTCGGGGAGTTGGTGACCAGTGAAGATGGAAGACGGAGGAGGAAGAGATAGGGCCCTGAGACCCCTAGTCCCGCCAGTCCTTGTAAGGACCGGGACTCTGTGCGGCTCAGAGGCGGGACCTTGGGACCCGGGGCCGGACGTCCGTGTGAGGGCCGGGCCACGGGACCCAGTGGTTGTGACACATACCCAAGCTGGGGTGGGTCTGTAGGTTCCCCTGGAAGCTACGGGGCTGGAGAGCCCGTGTGTATGTAGCCGGGTGGAACGGGGAAACAGTGAGCTGTAGTGACCACACGTGTTAGTGTGGCAGGAACAGTGAGCTGTAGGGACCACACGTGTTAGTGTGGCAGGAACAGTGAGCTGTAGTGACCACACGTGTTATTGTGGCAGGAACAGTGAGCTGTAGTGACCACACGTATTATTGTGGAAAGAACAAGTTATAATAAAGTGTGCTACCCGTCAAGTGGTCTCCCGCCGGAGTTTATTATACTACAACTGGCATCAGGAGTGAAACAGTCTTCCTGCCTTGGATACTAGGAAGACTCATCGGACTCACGAGTGTGACCGGGAGGAAAACCACAACGACTCGGGCCAGCAGGCGTCAGGGGGACAAGAGGAGGGGATGCCGGCGCCACAGGACCCCTCATGGGCGCCCAACGAGCGAATGGGGGCTGATGCTGGACTCCGCGACGCGCACGCCCGCCTGGCGGAGCTACTACTCGCCGCGGCGTCCATCCTGGCGGAGATCACCACGTCTGGAGGAGCGAGAACATCGACGAACGTTGAAAGGGCTCGCGTTGCTGATTCCCGCCAAAATGATTTTGGAATTCACGCCATTTCTGGTGAGCGGCCATCTTTTGGCGGGAACGGCGAGCAACACGTGGTGGGAGTTCTCCAATCCCTGCCGCTTACGTCATCAGCGCGCGCTTCGGGCCGCCATCAGCCACCCGCCATTGGGGCCGCCATTTTGCAGGTCGACGGTGCGGCGGGGGAGAGTCACGAGGCAGGGGACGACATCATTTTCCAACAGCGTCTTCCAGCGTTGACAGCCTTCAAGGCGGAAGGCGGGGACTGGGGCGCGTTCCAGCGAAGATTTCTAGCCCATCAAGAGATGTCGGCCTGGTCCGACGCTCTACGGCGCTGCGGGCACTGCCTGCCATGTTGGACGACGACGCGCTCGCGGCCTTCAGGTCCGCACCGAGGTCGGCCCGCTCCACGCTCAAGGCTACGCTGGGCCTCATGGCCAAGGTGTACGGCCCACCTTCGGCCTGCCGCCACCAATTTTACGAACGACGGAAGGCGGACACGGAGACCGCGCTCGCCTACCGCACGGCGTTGTTGGCCCTCGCGGACGCCGCGTTCCCTCGTATGGACGAGGAGGGGCAGGACGCTATGGTTTTGGAACAACTGCTGAAGTTGGCGCACGACCTGGGGGTCCCCATCAACACAGCCGACGAAGTCGACATATGTTCGTTGCATGTTGCAACAAGTATCCAGGCGCACGAGGTCCTCAAGCGGAAACAGGTGGTCGTCTGCACTGCGGCTGCGGTCTCAGCTCCGGCCACGGTGGTCACCGAGCCACCGGTCGTTCACCCACGGGAGGAGGCGTTCGCTGCAGCACGACCGGGGGATTGGAGGTCGGGGGGTCGTTCGCCTCTGCGATCGGCCCGCAAGCTGGAGCAACCGAGACCTCCGACGTCCGTCATCACGTGCTACAACTGCGGCCTTCAGGGCCACGTGGCGTCCGGGTGCCGCGCTCTACGTCAGCGTGCCACGGGACCTCAGCTGGACGACGACCAAGGCCCCAAGTCGTCCCAACTACCCCCGGCAAGTCGCGGCACTTCACATGCTCGGCCCACATACACGACACACATGGGCCGTCGCTTTGCGGCGGAGGATGTGCGATTGGGGGTCGGGGATTCGGTTCGGAGAGGGGGGTTCGTACGGGACCAGGGGGACGTTAAATGGTCCGAGTTGGGCCACAGAATAGTGCCTGCGTCGGCTGGTTCCTCGGTCGTTACGGGATTCATAGACGGGGTCGAGGTCAGGGTGTTGGTGGACACGGGAGCGTCGGCGACTATAATTTCTGACCTCATTTATAACATTCTCCCCGTCCAATGTCGACCTCTGCTTCCGGTGGATGTGCCATTTTACGTGGCAAATGGGGGCGCTTTGGGTATTATCGGTCAGATTCGGGCGACCATTTGCATAGGGGATATTAAATTGGCGGGACCTGTTTTCGTCTCCTCTTCCCTAGCGGTTCCTTGTCTGTTGGGCACAGATTTTTTGGCTAAGATGCCCATTAAAATTCTCGTGGATCAACGTTGTATTGAGCTGCCATCGGGTCGCCGTATTTCATTTTTATCGAACCCTACTGAAATACGGACGGCGTGCGCGACGATCCAAGCGATAGCAACACGGATGGTGCACGTGCCCCCGGGTTCGCAGATGTTGATACCACTCCGGTTGCGGAAGCCATTGGGTGGGGAGACTGCGGGACAAGGCGTGCTTTTGGGTCCATCGAATAGAGCTGTCGGGGGTCTGGATTTGGCGGTGGCTCAAACGTTGGTTCGGGCTGACGAGCACCCGTTCGTTATGGTGTTAAATGCTGGGTCGCGGCCGGCCGTTATTCCACAGGGCACCGTGCTTGCTCACGCGGCACGGGTCCCTGTGGAAGAGCGCCTTATTGCGCATGTTGATCTCGTCCCGGCGCAGGAAGTTATATCGGGTGATGACCTTGGCTGGGTTGATTCGCTATGTGCGGACTCCAGTGATTTGTCAAGGGTGCAATTGGGTGCGTTGCGTGCTCTGCTGATCGAATTCTCTGATGTGTTCAGCAAGCACAAATATGATATTGGGTGCACGGACCTGTTACGCCACCACATTGAAACAGGCGATGCGGCACCAGTCCGGCAGAATCCCTTCCGGCTGAGTCCTGCCGAGAAGGAACACGTTCAATCGGCCGTCAATGACATGCTGACGGCCGACATCATTTCGCCCTCATCCAGTCCGTGGGGAGCACCTATCATTCTGGTTAAAAAGCAAGACGGCTCCTTGCGTTTTTGTGTAGATTTCCGTCGCCTGAATAAAATCTCCGTGGCTGACGCGCATCCGCTCCCCAGAATGGATGAGTCCCTGGACGCATTGTCCGGGGCGCGGTATTTTTCTACACTTGACTTACTGTCGGGATTCTGGCAGCTGCCACTCGACGATGAGTCTAAACCTAAGACAGCATTCCGGACCCCAGGGGGCCTGTTCCAGTTTAATCGGTTGCCCATGGGACTCCACTCCGCTCCCGCGACGTTTCAGCGCCTTATGGAATTGGTTTTGTCGGGTCTGCAATGGGATACTTGCTTAATTTACCTTGACGATGTCATTGTTTTCAGTAAAACTTTTGAGGAACACCTCCAGCGATTAAGAGGGGTGTTCTTGCAGATGCGATCGGCTAAGTTGAAGTTCAAACCGGCGAAATGCCACCTTCTGCGGAAATCTGTAAGGTACTTGGGCCACATTGTCGATTCTTCAGGGATCTCCACCGATCCCGCGAAGACGAACTGTGTCAGTTCATGGCCAACGCCCACGTCGGTTTCTGAAGTCCGCAGCTTCATTGGTTTTGCGTCCTACTACCGCCGATTTGTTGAGCATTTCGCCACCATTGCCAAACCCTTGCACGCTCTAACAGCCAAAGGATTCAGGTTTCGATGGGGGCCAGAGGAGGAGGCCTCGTTCTGCTCTCTCCGGGACGCCTTGGTGGGTGCCCCGCTCTTGCGTTACCCTGACTTTACTAGTCCCTTCTTGCTGGATACTGATGCTAGTAACACGGGCATTGGGGGGGTGCTCTCACAGGTCGTTGGGGGAGTTGAACGGGTGGTCGCCTATGGTAGCAGGGTTTTGTCGCCTGCGGAACAGCGCTACTGCGTCACCCGTCGCGAGTTGCTGGCTATTGTTTTTTTTGTACAGCAATTTAGGCCTTATCTCTATGGCCGTCATTTTACGGTCCGGACGGACCACGCGGCGCTTCAGTATTCATTGAGGGTCGCCCAACCCTCGGGCCAGTTGTCACGGTGGTTGGAAGTCCTCCAGGACTATCAATTTACGACCACTTACCGTAAGGGGTTGCGCCACACCAACGCGGATGGCCTGTCGCGGTTGCCGCCTCGTCCCGAATGTGCGTGCTTGACGGGGTCGGCGCGCTGTAAACCGCCAGGTGCTGTACCTGAGAGTGAGTTGGTCGCGGCCGCGAATGCGCCGATGGTTGACGTCCCCGCTACCCCTGCGGGCGGGGACTCGCTACTCTCACTGTCTCTCGTTGATTGGGGCCGACTCCAGATGGCTGACAGCTCCCTGCTAACGTTGCGTCGCAGGGCGGGGGATCCCGAGGAGGGTCGAGAGCGAGTTGGCTCCTGGCTGCTCAAGCAGAGCCTGCTAATGAGATGGGACAATATGTCCCGGTGGCATGCACTCGTCGTGCCTTCCACTATGCGGGGCAAAGTTGTTCTGGCCGCACACGAACGCCTCTTGCATCTGGGGGTAAACAAAACGCTTGCTCTGCTCCAGCGTGACTATTATTGGCTGTGGATGGGGAGCGATGTGGTCAATATACTGAAGGGGTGTGTGGATTGCGCCAAACGGAAACCACCGCCCGTTGCGCCAAATCCACCGCTGCAGTCTATTCAGGTCTCGCGCACTAACGAGCTCGTGGCGCTGGATATTTTGGGGCCTTTTCCTGTCACGCCTAGGGGTAACAAGTACCTGTTGGTTGGTGTGGAATACTTTACCCGGTGGCCTATGGCGTGGCCACTCGCCAACCAGTCGGCGGCGGCCGTGGCGGACGCCTTTGTCCAGGGCTACGTCCTGGACAAGGGGGCTCCTGAACGCTTGCTGACCGACCAGGGAAAGAATTTTTCAAGTAAATTGCTGCAGGAGGTGTGCGGCCTTTTGGGTACTAAAAAGGTGCGTACCTCCCCATACCACCCACATACTGACGGGATGGTGGAGCGACTCCACAGGACTTTGACTTCAATGTTGTGCCAGCAGGTGGGTGAGGCACAGGTTGACTGGGACTTGCAGGTCCCGGGGGTCCTCGCAGCGTATAGAATGGCCCCCCATGCGGCTACGGGGTTCTCCCCATTTTATCTGATGTACGGTCGGGAGGCCGATCCGCCCATGGAGACTCAGCTGGGACTGTCCGTGCCACGGCCTAATTCCAAATTGGCCGATCATATTAAATTTAACATTGCGAAACTCGCCGAGGCACGGGAGGCCGCATGGCTTAATTCGAGATCTCAGCAAATCGCCAACGAGCGCTTGCGTGCACGGAAGGTGTCCGTGCACGATTGGAAACCGGGCGATCGGGCTTGGCTGCACTGCCCTCATGCACCTTTGGCTACGTCGCCTAAATTGTTGAGGCCATGGCGGGGACCCGTGGAGGTCGTGCGGGTTGCACATCCCCAGTGTGTTCAGATAAAATGGGGAAAGCGCCGTTGGTACGTTCACCCCTCCCGGCTGAAACCGTTCTCGCCTCCTAATGGCCTTCCTTCATGTCGTGAGGACCGAGTATGTGATGTGACCGACGACCTGGGGAGGGACATGTCTCCGCCTGATCCTCACATGTTTTCGCCTGATCCGCTCCCAGGTGTCTCGGAACTGACGGCTGCCGACCACCGGCGACCGGATCCCCGCGACACGGCCAGTCCTTCCAGGGCCGAACCGTGCCTTACGGGGCTGCCGGAGCCACCAGACGGTCGTCAGCGTCCCGTCCCGTACGATGGACCGGCCAGGCGGACTCGCGCTAAGTCGCGCCACTTTTCCTGACCAATGAATGAGGTGGAGGCGCGGTGCGAGTCGGTCGGCTCGTCTTGTCACGGCGTTCCCCGTCTGTTCGACCGCTTTACCGTTCCGTTCAAGGAGAAAGCGGGAGGGGGATCGGGTGTCGAGGAGACACTGGACACGTCGGTCTTTTCGAAATAACTTTTATTCGGTTACTCGTCGGTTTGTACATAGTTAGTTCTTGTTACTAGTTACCGGTCGGGTGTTGTGTTGTTGTGTTGTGTTGCTGTGTTGCATTGTGGTTATTGTTACGGGGCACACTTGAAGTGGGGGGTTTTTTTTGGTTGTTTTGTTGTTGTTGTTTTAACAGCCGGGCCGGCTTCGAGCTATGTGGGAGGGGGTGATGTAGTGGTGGTATGCGCTGGCAGGGATCGGGTGGCAGTGCGTGGTGATTGGCTGTGTGTCGGTGACGCGCGCTGACGGTGAGGGATCATAGGGCAGCGCGGGGTCATGGGTTATGTGGTGGTGATTGGCTGTGTGTTGGTGACGCGTGCTGACAGGGAGTGGTCGTGTGACAGCGCGGCGTGATTGGTAGTGTGGTGGTAACACGCGCTGGGGTGAAACGGATCATACGGCAGCGCGTCGTAATTGGTCGACTAAGGTGGGTGCTCACATCGCGGTCCGCATAGTCTCCGTCTCCTCGGGAGCGGAGGGCTATATAAGGTGGTGCGCGCGGGCGCTCGGGGAGTTGGTGACCAGTGAAGACGGAAGACGGAGGAGGAAGAGATAGGGCCCTGAGACCCCTAGTCCCGCCAGTCCCTGTAAGGACCGGGACTCTGTGCTGCTCAGAGGCGGGACCTTGGGACCCGGGGCCGGACGTCCATGTGAGGGCCGGGCCACGGGACCCAGTGGTCGTGACCCATACCCAAGCTGGGGTGGGTCTGTAGGTTCCCCTGGAAGCTACGGGGCTGGAGAGCCCGTGTGTGTGTAGCCAGGTGGAACGGTGAAACAGTGAGCTGTAGTGACCACACGTGTTAGTGTGGCAAGAACAGTGAGCTGTAGGGACCACACGTGTTAGTGTGGCAGGAACAGTGAGCTGTAGTGACCACACGTGTTATTGTGGCAGGAACAGTGAGCTGTAGTGACCACACGTGTTATTGTGGAAAGAACAAGTTATAATAAAGTGTTCTACCCGTCAAGTGGTCTCCCGCCGTAGTTTATTATACTACATATGTAAAGAAGCTTCTTCGCAGGTTCCATTTTCTCGACGATGAATTTTACAGTAACGTATTTAGAAAGCGAGAGTACGACTAACACGTTTACAAGGCTATGGCTATCTGCAGCCCTGGTGGTTTCTACTGGATTAATCTCAAACAGTCGTATTGATGATTTCCACCATGTAGATCTCGAACAGTTGGCCCGATGGTTTCCACGATGGCTATCACCAATACCACACAGCACAGTACTGGTATTGCCCATGTATTTGACGTAACATTATCTTGTTAGTGCTGTATTTTATTACTGTCAGTGTAAGCACAGACAGAGCAGCGCACACACACGGGCCTCAACATGATCTGAATGGCAAAAGGGCCTTTGCAGCTGTAAATTGGTGTCATGTTTAATACCCTGTGTAACCACTGCTCCAGAGATTCTCAAGAAGATCTTGGAGTTTCCCAAGGCAGAGGCCGACAGAATTTCTCTGCTGCTCGTGCTCAACAAAATATTCAACGCTGTGGCCGTGCAGACAGCAGAGAAAGGTGAGTGATGTGTTCAACTCAACCAACCCAGCTATGGGTTGGTTGAGTTAAAGTCTCGTGAGGTTCTATAACATCTAGTAGTACTTGTAGCAAATGCATTTTTGAGACAAGCTTGCATTTTATCCTATAAAGAGGATATCATCAACTGGGTAAATGTGTACGCTCAGACAACAATTACAATGTATACAGTGTCTAAATGCACTCACATATCAAGATGCTTTAAGAAAACAAAGGTCATGATGGTATGGGTATCGGAGCAGGGAAACACTGGGAGAGAGGAGAGAGAGCATCACCATGACAACGCCTGGGATCACGCAACCATGGGCCAAGCATAAACGACAGCAACGAGCCTCATGAACAGCCGGGGCATCTGGGGCAACATCAACGAGACCCAGGGCATCCTTGAGAAGTGTAGGCCCTAGAGCGAGTTCCAGGGTGTCCTTGGGGTGCCAGGGCTCGTTCACCAGTGAGTCACAGGGCATCGACGAGAGGACAGGGCCTTTCACCAGAGAGTCACAGGGGCAGCACCAACGAGCCAGAGGGCAGCTCCAGTGGAAGACGAGATCCTGGATAGAGACAGGCGGTGGTGGCGTTGAGGAGCGAGGAGGCCAAGGAGATGATCAGAGAGAACGCTGGGGTTGGGCAGCAGCGACATCAGCACACTGCAATGTAATTATTTTGGCTGCAGGAATTGTCAAGGAACCCACCACACTGCTATGGGCTGTACTAAATATACACGGAGAGCCGTAAGCCAGTTTTACATTATAAGTGATCATCAGTCGTGTATTGTCCATTTACCAAACTACCACTAATCATCCATGTAATGTTTTAGATGCTTTAGCATTCCACTGTGACAGATCGAGTCCAGCATATGGTGATACGAAAGCAAAGTTAGTGATGATCCTCAAAAAGTAAGAAACCAGTGCATAATTGCTACATAGAGTAAAAGCCACACAGAGCATGCTTAAAAGTTGGCAGCCACGAAACACTCGTTCACCACCACCACCACAGGGCCTGGCTATGGCTGTCTTCCAACATTCCTCGTCGCCAAACTCAATTCAGTAAATTTTCTATGCTGCCTCACATTGTAAAGTTGTTGGGATTGCCGTTAATAGATCTACTCGCCTTTATTTAGGATTGATGTTAGTCGCCCTGCTGGGTTTTTTTAGGATTGCTTTTGTAAATAAGAAGCATAAATTTGGCAGAACTGCCGCTGAGCGAGGTTGAAGTAATTTTGCGCCTTTGAGTTGCATTGCACAAAAGCTGGAGCTTGCGGGGGTGGCAGGGAGAGGGGTACTTACTGAAGGTGTTGGGGAGTCAGCGCTAGAGATTGGAGGGGTGAAGGACTGCATTGAATTATAATGAATTAATTCCCTAGTTTCCCTGACAGTTATGAGTGTGAATAGTTTATATCCAGATGCAGTGGATGCTCATGGTTCATAGATTATATAGAATGTGACTGCTGAAATGGGGTTTATGGGAATGTAAACTTGTGTGTTGAGATATTTCTTTGGAATGTATAAATTAGTATATTCTCTTTCAATTAAAGTAATTGTGCATTCATGCTGTGTTTCATTTCCAAGATTCCAACGTCCCCAGGACTGGGGACATTGCAGGTGACCCCTTGGAGAAACCTATGGAGTGGCCAAAACACCGGGATGGTAACGTGTACATCCCCTACAACATCTCCATCGCGTTCGGTGAGTGCAGCGTATGATAGACTACGTGGCTTGACTTGGATCTTCTAAGTCGAATTTCTCAGATGAAATTTAATTGTAATTGTTGGGATTATAATGCCTCTCCTCTTATTTAAGTAGGATAATGAAGTTGATTTCAGCATTTATCAAAGAAATTTTAGGTGACCGAGATTGAAAAGACATTCCTTTGGCAAGGAAGTGAGAATCCAAATTCGAGGAAGACCAGGACACCACGTGACTCAGCCAGGAGGAGAGAAGCCGTCTCTGTTTTTTTGCAGGAAAGGAGCGCGTGATGGATTTAAAACTACGTGGGAATTTCTGTGCAGAGTCCGTGCTGCTGGTGTCATTTGGATGCCAAATTGTATTGGTGACTCACTATGAGACCTCCTTTACCAGTGGCAAAATATAGTAGTAGGTTTTTACCCTTTTTTTGAGTTGTACGCCTTTTCGTGTCATCTGGTCCAACACCAATGGAGACTAGGCTCTAAGGAAAGCTGTCTCGGGTGTGGACCAATCAACTTCAAGGACAGTGCATATTATTATCATTATCAGAGTTGTTTCTTTATGTTTGCATTTTGACTACTTGTGTTGTGGTTATTGCAAACATGATGCCTTGTATAAAGGTGTCAGTTTTGTACCAGTTTAAAGGGTAAAAACCTACTACTGTATTGGTGACTCTCGCAAAGTGACAAGTTAAAAATAATATAGCACAATATTACCTTTATGTACAGCTAGAATAAATAAATTGCAAATGTACAATTATATTTGAATATGCCAGCCTGCAATCGTGTTGCAAAATCATCAATGTTAAGGCCATTGAATTGGCGAGGCAAAGGCTCGTGATGCACACCTGGGGCTCAGTGCCCTCCACTTCTAAATGTTCTGGAGGGATTTATTTTTGTTGCTTCAACCCCGGGGTCAGTTCTTTCTCAATGACTCCCAATTTAGGATATTTCTGTAGATTCAGAATCATAATAAAAATATGTATTTATACTGTAGATTGTCTTTGTGAGTAGTCCCATGATTGTCTATGGTAGAGCCTGTTTTTGATATTAAGAAATTTGTTCGTGAAAAGGAACCAATTGGCATACACTGCAAAGAAATAATAATTGTTTGTACAGCAAAACCTTGGATTGCGAGCATAATTTGTTCCGGAAACGTGTTTGTAATCTCAAGCACTCGTATATAAAAGCACTCGTATATCAGTTGTGATCACGTGGCACTCGGCAGACAAAGCTTATACGTACTACTCGTATTGCAAGACCTCGCTCGTTTATCAAATTAATATTTATTTAAATTTTTTGCTCGTCTTGCAAAACACTCGCAGACCAAGTTACTCACAATCCAAAGTTTTACTGTATATTAGCAACACTTTAGTACAACCGACAGAATCACACTTTTTATTGACGAGGGCATTGGATATTGTAAAGGTTTTTAGTGGACAATGCATGCAATTAAGCAATGCTTTTCCAGAACACATACACATTTAATCGTTCGTAAAATGTTAATGAATATGGAACAAATAGAGAGAGTTTATCTGGGTTGTTTTAATTTCTATTTCTCGTTTTCCTTGCGGATTCATCCCTAGCACGGCTCAACTTCAGAATTGCCAACCATCGTTAATTTCTCAAGTTTTTATTACCCTGCTCAATCCAATAAATGTATTAACGCGTGTCTGTTACAACTTCAGTCTTGCTGTTTACTGCTGGCCGCTTGGTGTTTTGGGCCTTTGGGCCTGTGATCAGCTAACGTGATAAATACGTATATGTTGGACCGGTAGCTCAGATAGCTATTATATAGCTCATATACGTTTGCTCGTAATACGGATTGGTAATATATCTGCTGTTATAATGGGTAATGTGCCCCTGCAATAAAAATGTGATTCAGTGTAACTTACAAAGCCTCTCAGCTTGTCAGCCGATTAATACAGAATAAGTTGTAACAATATCCATCAGAGTCCGTGGCAGGATATGAGTAGGAATCCTGTCCCAGGGTGTGGGCACTGCGCAGGCCGTGTGTGTTGGGTGACTCGTGTACGGGAGGCCCCACGCGCCCCATGCGCGTTCTGCGTGCTCAGTACGGAGGAGACACCATTCCGTATGCTCCTGCCACATTGTCTAGTTTAGTCGTTGCATCTTCAAATCTTATGTTGTTTGATTGTCCTTCCCACTCCATTGAAATCATCAGTCTCATCTTTCTAACCATTGAAACATTCATTACCTTGTCAAATGAGCATTATTTGTAATGGCTTCATCCATACGTGGCACTGTTTTTTTATCAGGCTTCAGTGACAAGAGGACTATTGAGCAAGCCTTCCAGGAATTCCGCATCAAAACGTGCATCAGGTTCACTCCTAGAACACATGAGAATAATTACATCAACTTCCAGGCACTGGACGGGTGAGTGGGTGCTCTTATCTGTGTGTGCTTGCTGTAGGTGTGAGTGTAAGTGTACCTGTGTGTATGTGCTGTAGGCAGGAGCGGTAGTGTGGCGGTTAGCGTGCTGCGCTATGAACCTGGCGACCCGGGTTCGATTCCCGCTCACGGTCAACACCAGTACGATCATTTGAACTGGTCCTGAGCATCCTCTCGGTCGACTCAGTCTCAAATGAGTACCTGGTGTGATGTGTAAACATCGCTACGGGGAAGACAAAGGCGGCCGGGCGTGTTGCTGGCCACCCACTGCCTCGTGTGCTGTGCCGCCCATAATTGGTGGTCGCTAACAGCACTTGCCCTAACAGTCTGTTCCAGGCTATACAGGGGATCTTTGTCTTTGTGCTTTAGGCATTCGTGTCGGTGTACCTGTGTGTATATGCTGCCTGTATGTCAGTCGGTGTGTGTAGTTGTGCATGGTCTAGGTGTGTTTGTAGTGTTTGTAGTCTCGTATTGATATTGGTCTACATTTGTAATGCGGGCGTAAACGGCCCTCCGGAAGTGACGTCATGAGGGGAGGAGTTAGGTCACGTGGGGGAGAGGGGTCAGGTCTATAGAGGGAGGGGAACCGGAAGAGGAGGGGGAGTGACGGGAGACCAGGAACGAGTAAGGCCACGTAGGGCGAGAGCGGAGAGTGGCGAGATCGCCACGGACACGGGGAGCGAGGATCGGCACCGTCGGCCAGCGGTGACCGACCCGAAGCAGCGAGGAGGCTGCAGTTAGCAGCGGGTCTGCATACGGAGTTGGCAGCGGGTCTGCATACGGAGTTGGCAGCGAGAGTCTGCATACAGAGTTAGCAGCGGGGGTCTGCACACGGAGTTAGCAGCGAGTCTGCAGGGAGAGGAAGGAGGCTACAATAGCGATAGCAGCCGGGGGCTACAAATAGAGTGTCTCTAAGAGAGTGCCGTGAGGGAAAAGACAAGAACCCAATAAAGGACACGAAGTCAGAGAGAAGCGTCCGAGTCCTTTATTACACTGGAGTCAGAAGTGAAACGGCATGGCGAAACAACTGAGGAAAAAGAATATTCCATCTCCGGCGTCGGCTTCATCTTCCGACGACGACGATCTTCCTCCTGCAGTCGGCCTGACTCTGGCAGAGGAAGAGATCCGTGATGGGACGAGTGCGGGTCCGGGAGTCCAAGAGGTCGCCGTGTCGGCGGACCCGTCTGCTCCAAAGGACGCGGATTCAAGATGGACCCAGATGGCGGAGCAACTGGTAACTCTTAAAAACGTCATTACACAGTTGTGTGACCTTGTCACGCCAAGGGCGGCGTTGGAAGGAGATGTTGGTGATCAGCAGGAGCCCGGGTCGTCTTCGATGGCGCCGCCATCGGCCACGCGGCACGAAGACGCCATCTTGGGCGTGGCGCACGACAAAAAGCGGGAAGCCGCCATTTTGGGACCGCCGCGACGGTCGGCCGCCATCTTGTCGACACCGCGTTGCGACGCCATGTTAAATTTACCACCGGAGGAGTCAGCGGCTGACGGAAGCAAGCCAAGAAGTCGCAGTCGTCATTTAACAACTGTCAAGGAATTCTCCATCGGGGGCGATTGGAGTGCGTTCGCCTGTAGATTTCTGGCAGCGGTACGTACAGCGAGGTGGACGGACTCCGAGGCACTGGAGGTGCTTCCGACTCTTCTTGATGATGAGTCCGTTCGTTTTTTTCGCTCTATAAAAGCCGCAAAGAAGAAGACTCTGCGAGGGGTGTTCGACGAAATGGCGGACGCGTACGAGCCGCCGGATGATGCCCATTGCCGGTTTGTGCAACGACAACGCGCACCCGAGGAGTCACCGGTAGTGTATAGGGGCGCGGTGTTGGAACTTGCTATGGCCGCTTACCCGGAGACGAAGCCTGACCTGCTGGAACCTCTCATCCTTGGGAAAATGTTGGAGTTGTCCCGGGATCTCGGCATTCCTATGCCGGTGTGCGGTCATGAAAAGCTCACGTCCCGGGCCGTGGCGAAGTGTTTGGACGCCCAGTTTAACCTTCGCCGCTGGAAACAAGTTACGGCGTGGACGGGTGGTCCTGTCGTCGAGGGGGGTGCCTTAGGGTGGGACCCTAAACAGGCCGTGTACGTGCCGGATGGGAGCAGCCAGCAGGAGCTGTCGGCGGCCGCTGCTCCGTGGCCGGCCCGGGGTGGGCCGGGGCCGCGGTCTGCGCCGCCGGTACGACCGCGTCGGGACGGGGTGCCTGCTGCGCGCCGCAACGAGATCGAGTGCTTCCGCTGCGGGCGTCGGGGCCATTATGCCAGGGACTGCTGGGCCCGCGTTCCGGGTCCGCCCCAGCAGGAGGCCTCGACAGCGGACGCTCCCAAGAAAAGTTCTACAGCACAGACAAGCCGGCCGTGACGCCGCAGGAGGGAGGACGTTCCGCTCGTGGGATGCCGACCGGGGCCGCGGAAACTACGGGACCTGCAGCCTTTCCTACCCCTCCGCGGACGCGATTACGGGACGTCTCTGAACGCGACTGGGACGGTGGCAGGCCTCCAATGGCGATGGACGAACTTGCTCCTGTCGCCCTTAAAACCCTGCCACGTTCCCGCTCGGCGGGTGGGCTGCCGACCGTCCGGGACGGCCCGGCTACCCGTACTCGCTCGAAATCCCTCACGTTTCGTTAACTTGTGTTGTGTTCTTGTTATATTGTTGTTGCATGCTTCGTGTCTTTTAACGTGTTGGTCCTTTACACCCGCATTGCTTGTCAAGTTGTAGTTCAGCCGAGGTCGGCTGGATTTTCTCTACGGGGGAGGGTGATGTAATGCGGGCGTAAACGGCCCTCCGGAAGTGACGTCATGAGGGGAGGAGTTAGGTCACGTGGGGGAGAGGGGTCAGGTCTATAGAGGGAGGGGAACCGGAAGAGGAGGGGGAGTGACGGGAGACCAGGAACGAGTAAGGCCACGTAGGGCGAGAGCGGAGAGTGGCGAGATCGCCACGGACACGGGGAGCGAGGATCGGCACCGTCGGCCAGCGGTGACCGACCCGAAGCAGCGAGGAGGCTGCAGTTAGCAGCGGGTCTGCATACGGAGTTGGCAGCGGGTCTGCATACGGAGTTGGCAGCGAGAGTCTGCATACAGAGTTAGCAGCGGGGGTCTGCACACGGAGTTAGCAGCGAGTCTGCAGGGAGAGGAAGGAGGCTACAATAGCGATAGCAGCCGGGGGCTACAAATAGAGTGTCTCTAAGAGAGTGCCGTGAGGGAAAAGACAAGAACCCAATAAAGGACACGAAGTCAGAGAGAAGCGTCCGAGTCCTTTATTACACATTTACCAAAATAAATTATTAATTCTCTGCCCGCTTTATGCAGCCTTTGATGTTTATGTTCCTAGGGCGAGGACTGAGGTGAGGCCTGGCTGTCAGCCCTCGCATAGACCTAGGCCTCAGGCTTTATATAAGTCAAAGTTGTATTAGAATCGCAATTATTATTTACGATGATATTTAATTTATTACATTTTAAGCAAATAAAAACTGTCTTGTTCTTTTATTTACTTTTAAATTAAACGTTTTATTCTTAACTTGTGTAGCTATGTTTTAAGTGGATGAGGTGATGGTCATGCTTAGGTGTTAGTTAAAGTAAGTTGTAACATGTAAGTTGGTGTGTAATGTTAATGTGTAGAAGTTTGTGTACCCCTAGCTTGGCATAGGTGATGTGGTTTTTCTTTTATATTTGGTGTTAAATGTTTAAAAGAGATTGTATGTGTATATTTGTATCTGTCTGTTTTGTGCATGGCAGTGTGTTTATGTATATGTGTGCGTAGTTGTATGTGTGTGTCTGTGTGACCTTAAAGTGCACATAGCCTGGCATAAGCACCGTGGTGACATCACTGCCACTTCGTGGCGAATGGCGGTTGTGTTTGGGGAGCAGCAGCGTAGTGATTAGCGCTCTGCGCTAAGAACCTGGCGACTCGGGTTCGATTCCCACTAATGGCGAACACCAGTGACGATTATCTGAACCGGTTCTGGGACTCCGCTAGGTCGACTCAGCCTCAAATGAATACCTGGTGCGGTGTGTAAACATTGCCACTAGTGAGCCAAAGGCGGCCGGGCATGGTGCTGGCCACCCACCCCCTCTGAAGTGTCGGCCTTCATAGGTGCTCACGAACAGCACTTGCCCAAAGAGCATGTTCAGGATATACGGGCATCTTTGTCTTTGTTTCTACAAGGTCGGTGAGTCAGATGTCTTCTATAACCTCCTGTCAGATGTAAGATTACATTTTTCCCCTCGAGATAAAGTTATCCTATTGGGTGACTTTCATGCCTGAGTGGGTCATGTTGTGCTGGAGTGATTGAAAGGTATGGGCCAGATCAGCTTAATAATATTGGCATATCAACACAACATCATGACGAAACAGTGGATGCGGGCCCATGTTCTTGACACCAGGTTCTACTCTAGAGCTGATCTGCACACTGACCATTGGCTTGTCGTCTGTAAAATGTGCCTACGATTCTTCCACTGCGATGGTGGCTTTCCATCTTGGACCCCATTTATACCCACAGTGGCCTGGTCTTGTCTAGCTGATGAAAGGTACAAGCGAGAATTTCATCATCGCTTTCAGCTGGGTTTACCATCGTCCCCCTTACTCCTGATTCTGAGAGGAAATGGGTGAGGTTCAGGATTGTGGCTCATGCAGCTGCAATGGCTACATTGGGTATGCAGTCCAGACCTCCCAGGGACCCCGACTGACAGAGGGACAGAGGAGGTCTTCCAGCTATCTGAAGGAAAGCGACAGGCCCACTCCCACTGTCTATAACATCCCACCTAGGAGAATGAGGAGGCTTACCACAGCCTTCGTCAAAGGTTCACAGAACTTTGCAGCACTGCAACGGATGAGTGGTGGTTGTGGATTGCTGAGGAGATGGAATCTGCCTCAATTGCATGTGATCATAAATAAAAAAATGTACTAGCACCGCCACTCCAATCACCATCTTTAACAGGTTTTCAGTTTTGCTGAGCGTTTCTGTGAAGTCTTGAGGAAGGGAAAACCCCTCGGCCCAGATAACATCGTGGGGCAGAGTGTGCTTCACCTTGTTGGGGCTGTCATGCCTCAAATATTTGAGGAAGCAGGCACCCCTTGTGATTGGCTGGCTAATATGCTGGCTAATGTGTTGAGGAAATGCGAAAGGCGATCCAGAGCCTGAGACCAGGAACAATGCCGAGCAGAGATGATCTCCAAACGAACTGCTGAGGGAGGTTGATGCTGGTCTGCAAACTACCCTATATGATTCATATAATCATATGATCACAACTGTCTAGACCACAGGACAGGTGCCACAGGATTGGAAGGATTCTCTAGTGGCGTCGGAAAATATCCCTCCTCAGTGTGCTAGAGAAAGGTCCTGGCAAGGATTATTCAACATTGCCTTGCCAGGCACACTGAGACGATGGTGCCGAGTGAGGATCACCTGCTTGTTCTGCGTTGACCCCGTGTGCATTGTTTATTCTGCTGTCACCACGTGTTCATTGCTCACAATAAACCCCGGGTGCTGTGTGAGCAGGAGCTGGTCGTTCCTGGGCAAGAAGGAAGGGGCTCAGTCCTTGTCCCTGGAGCCCGGGAAGGTGACCAAGGGAACGGTTCTGCACGAGCTCATGCACGCGCTCGGCTTCCAGCACGAGCACTGCCGCAGCGACCGCGATAAGCACATCAAGATTAACGAAGACAACGTCAAGGAAGGTGGGGCATTGCAAGATAGACACGCTCGGCTTGGTACCCTTGTGGGTGGCACGCATTACAATCATCCTGGTGTCATCAGGGCAATGCATGAGCAAGCATTTTGGATCCCTCTACATCAGGGCAGGGCCTGCGAGCCGTGAGCTTGAGCTGTGACTTCTGTGACGTGAGGCCCTTCACTGCTCACTCACCTCTTAATTGTGTACGAGTGAGTCGCTGCTGTTTCATACAATTTAACTGAGGTCTCCTGAACGGCTATGAAGAGCTTGTTTCATGTCAGAAGTGTATTCTCTGCAAACCAACACCTTGCTGCTCAAGCGTTGTATGTGTAAGAGAGACTAGAATGCCATTGTCAATATGAGGATGACTTTAGACAGTTGTTCAAAGACAGTTGCGATGATTTCAATAATTACAAAATTGAATCACATGTTTACTGAGACAGTACATCTTCTGCGGCTTAAAGTCATCCAATGCCCAGACAAAGACAACACAACAACACAATAGCTGTTCACATTTCACGACAAGGTTTAAACTCCTGTTATTAGTCCTCAAAGCAAACTTGTGTTTTACTTCAAGGAAGTAGCAATCCATAAACAGTTAGGAGCTATGGTGTCACAGTACAAGAACTATCATCCCTGCTATTGTGTCATCTACAATGAGCTGTCAAGATGCTGTCGATTCACTTTCAAATCCCAGCTCCCAGCTGTGTATCATGAGCCATCACAGTTTTCACATTCCCCTCTGTGGACTGTATCATCATTTATAATTATCAATGCTCATTTTATGTTTTAAATATTTTATTTCCTGAAAACTTATTAAATACAGGTAGACCTCGCTTAACGCTCAAAATGCATTCCTGGAGAAGTGAGCGCAAATCGAATCAGCGCTAAAAGGGGTCATTATACCATTGTATATATGGGGATGTGTTCCCAACAGCGTTATTTATTTCGTATGAGCAATATATGAGGCTTCATTAGAGTATCGGTAATAGCACAAATAATAATACAGATGGTAAATATTTAATAAATAAAGTTGTATTTCTTATAATAACAGTATTATGCACTGTACTCGTACTGTACATGCCATTGGTGGGAGACGAGGTTGCAGGAGGCGTTCGGGAGCACCCTTATCCAGGACGTAGCCCTGGAAAAAGGCCTCCGTAATGGCTGCTGCAGACTGGTTGGGGAGTGGCCAGGCCATGGCCCATCGGGTAAAATATTCGACCCCAACCAAAAGGTACTTACTACCCTGCGGAGTAGCGGGAAACGGACCCAAAATATCCAATGCGACGATCTCATTGACCCAGGAAACCTTAATGGATTGGAGCGGCGGGCAGGACGGCCTAGCAGGTGGTTTCCGCCGTGCACATTCTGTGCAACCTTGCACAAGGTCAGCCACATTGTTTGCCATGCCCGGCCAGAAAAATTCCAATTGGATTTTAGCTAGTGTTTTCTGAACACCCAAGTGCAAGATGCGACTGTGGGTTTCCCACACAAGTCGCCCCCGCAGGGAGGTGGGCACCACCAACGTGTGGGATTGGGACCTCCCATCCCAATGCATGAGGACGCCTTCCCGGATGACATATGATACGGGGCCCCCCTGCCCCCTGTGACCCTCGGCATCCCTAGCGCGGCGTCTCAATTTGAGGAGGGAGACGTCTTCCATCTGAAGACGTCCCCCATCGTCCAACCCGAGGCCCAGCAATGCGTCCTGCAGAACTTGCGTGGAGGGAGCCCCGTGGTCCCCGACCCCATCCCCGGCCGCGGCCGCAAGGGATGGGGGCGGTACCCCGTCAGGCTGCCTACAACGCCCCGCACCCAAAAAACAAGCACAGCGCCCATTGTTCGGCAGTCGCGACAACCCGTCGGCGTTCCCGTGTTGAATCCCCTTGCGGTAAATGACAGTGAACGCAAAGTCCTGGAGGATCTCGAGCCAACGCGAGAGCTGTCCAGATGGTTGGTCCACTCGCAAGGCGTATTGTAGCACCGCGGAGCGTACTGTGAAATGCCTGCCATACACGTATGGTCTGTACTGCTTTATGAAAAAAATGATAGCAAGCAATTCGCGGCGCGTCACGCAGTAACGTTGCTCCGCGGGCGACAGCACCCTGCTGCCATAGGTGACGACGCGCTCCACTCCATTGACAATTTGCGACAGCACCGCTCCAATTCCGGTGTTGCTGGCGTCTGTATCCAGAATGAACGGAGTGGTAAAATCTGGATAAGATAGGGTAGGAGCATCGACCAGTGCTTTTCGGATGGCATTGAACGATGCCTGTTCTAACTCTCCCCAACGGAATTTTACCCCTATGGCCGTTAATGCGTGGAGGGGCTTCGTGATGGATGCGAATCCCGCAACAAATCGTCGATAATATGAGGCGAAGCCGATAAAACTCCGCACCTCCCCAACAGAGGTAGGAGTTGGCCATGAGCGCACGCAATTTGTCTTTTCTGGGTCCGTGGCAATTCCCGAGCGGCTGACAATATGGCCCAAGTAACGAACCGAATCCCTCATGAGGTGGCACTTTTGCGGTTTGAATTTGAGGTTAGCTGCTCGCATTTTAAGGAAAACTGCCTTCAATCGCGTGAGGTGTTCATCAAAAGTTTTGCTGAACACGATTACATCGTCGAGGTAGATTAGGCAAGAATCCCACTGGAGCCCAGCGAGGACCAGCTCCATCAGGCGCTGGAACGTCGCCGGGGCCGAGTGAAGACCCATGGGAAGTCTCTTGAATTGGAACAGTCCCTGCGGCGTGCGAAAGGCCGTCTTTGGTTTGGATGCGTCATCAAGGGGTAGCTGCCAAAACCCCGAGAGGAGATCCAAGGTGGAGAAGTAGTGCGCACCTGCTAAGGCATCGAGCGACTCGTCCATCCTGGGAAGCGGGTAAGCGTCGGCCACAGAAATCTCATTAAGTTTCCTGAAGTCAACACAAAAGCGGAGGCTCTCGTCGTGCTTCTTAACAAGAACGATCGGCGCCCCCCATGGGCTATTTGATGGCGCAATGACATCGGCCGCCAACATATCGTTGACGGCCACCCGTACATGTTCCTTTTCGGCCGGGCTCAACCGGAATGGGTTTTGACGAATTGGAGCGGCATCACCCGTGTCGATGTGGTGGCTTAGTAATTTAGTGCAGCCAATGTCGAATTTGCTTTGACTGAAAACGTCGGCAAAATCGCTCAGCAGCGTGCGTAATTTAGCATGCTGTAATGGTGACAAATCGGCAGAAGTGGAGCAAAGCGCGTCGAGCCATCCTGTGTCAGGACCTGGCTTGGCATCGGAAGAGGACTCGCCCCCTACGTGACCCACAATCACATCTTCTGACGGGGCTGACGTCGCGTGAGCAAGCACCATTCCCTGACAGATAACAGCCGTTTCCAATCCCCCGTTAAGGACCTGGATAAAGGGGTCGTGGTCGCTTCGCATGAGCGTTTGTGCGCACACGAGGTCCGACACCCGCTCAGCTGAACGCGAAGGCCCGATCACAGCACCCCCCATGAACGCGTCGTAGTCAAGGGGTTTACGAAACCGGAGGGGAACTAACATCTGAGAGCCGGGAAGAATGTGAATTGTGCAGGCCGCCAACGCCTGCACCATCGTAGATGCGGAGTGCAACCGAGTGGGTGTGGGCAGGAAGGCCATGCGTCGGCCGGAGGGGAGCTCAATACACCCTTTGTTAATGAGAATTTTAATGGGCATCTTCCCCAAGAAATCTGTTCCGAGGAGGCATGGAACGGCGAGGGTTGATGAGAACAAAATGGGCCCAACTAATTGGACGTTAGCAATGCGGATCTGAGCATTGATCCGTCCGGTAATGCCCAACGAACCCCCATTTGCGGCATAGCATGGCACATCAACTGGCTGCAAGGGACGGCATGTATCTGGCAGAATGTTATAAATTATGTCTGAAATGATGGTCGCCGACGCACCCGTATCGATCAACATACGAACATCAACGCCCTCGATGGAACCCACTACGGCAGAGGACCCTGCCGCCACGGCAACGACCCTATGGACCAACTCGGACTATTGACCTGGTCCGAGCGCCCGGTTGTTCAATGATGGGCCCGAATCCCCCTCCTCCGAAGCATGACCCCCCTGTGTGGTGTGAGGGTGCGTGCTTGTTGTAAGTGTGGGCCGAGAGTGCGAGGTGTCGTGACTCGCCTGGGTATGCCGAGGATACGGTGGTGGCCGAGGCGCCGGAGGTCCTGAAGTCCGGCGTCGGGGGACCCGGCAGCCGGACGCCACATGGCCCCGAAGGCCACAGTTATGGCAGATGATGGACGCCCCGTCCTGGCGCGAGGTTGGCCAGTCCCGCTGGTGGTGATCTCGCTGGGATCGCCAGTTGGACGATCCGCGACTTTCTGTTACCGCGAAGGCCTGATGAGGCCCCAAATGCACGTCATAGGCTTGTGCATTCGGTGGGCCTGCGCAGGCGGCGATGGTCGTGTCCTCATCGCAATGTAGGTGTGCTTGGATGCACCTGGCAGCACGTAGCGACGTGAAGTCATCGTCATCGTCGGCTGTTGGCATGGCAATTCGAAGCTGGCGGGCCAAGCTCATGAGCTTCTGCAACACGAGTGACTCCACAGCGTCTTCATCCATGCGAGGGTAGGCAACCCGCGCCATGGCCAGCAGCGCGCTGCGGTACCCCATCGCTGACTCGGAGGCCTTCTTCCTCCTCGCATCGAAGCGGTGACGTGCTTCGGACGAGGGTCCATAAATCAGCCGCATCTGATGAAGGGCATCCGTGAGCGTGGCACGTTTCGCTCGTGGCACCGCAAGAAGTGCTGCGAGGGCGTCGTCCCAGCGGTCATTGCTTCCCCGGCAGAAGTGACGACACACCCGGATGTATTTGCGGCGGGAACGGCTGCCATACTTGTGTTAGAGCCAGCGGAATGGCGCGGCCGCTGCGCCGCCTCTCTCCCTCCTGCCTCCGCCTGTGAGCGACGCATATCGTCCAGAATGGAGACGGTGGCGTGGAGCAGCTCAGTGAGGCGAAG